GGCGGCGGCGGCGGCGGCGGAGGCAGCAGTCTTAGAATGAGTAGCAATATCCACGCGAACCATCTCAGCCTAGACGCGTCCTCCTCCTCTTCCTCCTCTTCTTCCTCCTCCTCTTCCTCCTCGTCCTCGGTCCACGAGCCCAAGATGGATGCGCTCATCATCCCGGTGACCATGGAGGTGCCGTGCGACAGCCGGGGCCAACGCATGTGGTGGGCTTTCCTGGCCTCCTCTATGGTGACTTTCTTCGGGGGCCTCTTCATCATCTTGCTCTGGCGGACGCTCAAGTACCTGTGGACCGTTTGCTGCCACTGCGGGGGCAAGACGAAGGTAACGCGCGCCCCGGGCGCCCGCCCCCTGCGCCAGCCCGCCGCGGCTCGGTGTCCCCTGCAGCCCACCTCGCTCCCACAGCTCGGTGCCTCCCTTCATCCCTACCTGCCTCCCTTCGCCGCCTTCCTTTCCCGCCGCTCGCGCTGCGCCCTCGGCTTGGGGCAGCGGGTGGCGCGCCTAGGGTGAGGAGTTGCCCCCGACCCGTGCGCTCCCGGACGCTGACGCCCCATCACGTCCCCTTGTTTACTGTAGGGTTGTTGGCTGCCTCGGCTGGGGCCGGGGTGGGGGACGCGTGCCGCTGGGGTGCCGTGGTGCGGGGTGCGGAGACTGGGGCGGCCGGGTGCGTGTTCCGCTCCTCTCACCTGCCGTGGCTGGGCTCTTCGCCGCGGATGAGGGGCAGCACTGATGTGTTTAGGACTTCAGGAACCTGTTGGGGACGCGAGTTCATGGGGTCAGAAAGAAGGGAGACAGTCTTTTGCACTAGGAGCATGGTCAGAGAAATGGGGGGACCTCGAGGGGCGAGAGAAAGTTGGGGAGATCCATCCCAGTATTGGCGACAACCCTGGGTTGCCACTTCAGCTGTGTGGCGAGATCGCATATCTGATGTCACCTCTCTTGCTTAATCTTTTAGATATTCTTGTGGAACACACCCTTCCCCAAGTTCTTCGGCCTCTGTACTCTCTGGCCCCTAGGCCACCCACTTTGGGTCCCGGGAAGTGCCATCGGGAGCTGGAGCGGCAGGTCCCGCGACAGCTAGGCAGGTTCCCGACAGCTTGTCGAGGCGCCTTCACGCGAGCGTCTTGCCGACGCCTGAGGTGGCTGAATGTCTGCTTAAGCTATTCCTGGTGCAGACGCCCACCAGCAACCAGGCTCACCACACCTCAGATGTATGGTTGCTAGGATGACTGCCTCTCTAGCGGTGTCCCTAGAGATGTCCCCCCTCATCCCCCACTGGCTGAAGGTGAGACAGGGGCCAGTGTCTGAGAAAAAAACTGCAGAATAAAAAAGAAAAAAACTGGAAAAAATGGAGAGTGACTGAACTGTCTTCTTTTTGAGTAATTCTCATCCTGGAGACTTCACAGAGCCAACCCTTCTGGAAAGACGGGATATGTAGAGGAATTCTGCAAGGTGGACGCACCTCTTGACCCCCACATGTTCCCACGTTTTCTCTTAAAGTTGATCCAAGGACCCCTGAAACTTCCACAGGGCACAGCAACTTGTAGCAACCTCTTTGGCTGCTAAGAAGTGGGGAAGCTGGGGGGTGTGGGAGAGGGCTGATTGCAAGCACAAGAGCGCGAAGAAGCCCTCTCTCCTGATCATTAATTATACATCGCGTTGGGTGCTGGAGCTCAGCTGTGTTTTGTGGCAGTGTATTTGTGTTTTGGAAAATATTGGTGTGTTGGAATCAGGAGCAAAATAAAAACCATCATTCTCTTCCTCCTCTTGCTTCTCTGGAGGCCTCCAGATGCTGGCCAGCCAGCTTGCTTTGGAGTTCCTTTCCAGAGAAAGGGAAACGTCCCACCTTCCAGAAATGCCAAGTCCTAACAGCAGACCCTGAGGGTGATGCCCTTTACTATGGAGCTGCTGTTTCACACATTCTCTTTCCTCTACCTCCCTCTACAGTCTTCAGCCCTGGGAATTTTGTTCCCCTTTATTGAGATCTACCACTGTCCAAAGGGGGGAAAGGTAACTCTAGTTGCACGCATCTGAAATGTTCTCTAGATGGGTGACTTTGGCGAGCTTTTTAACAGCCTCCTTTCTTTCAGGAAGTGGGTAATTTTGATATAATGAAAACTTTTTTCAATGAGTCAAAGTAAGTTGTGGCATTTACATGATCCATCATGGGTTTTAAACACAGCTTCTGAAATCATTTTCCTCTAGGGGGTACATAAATGCTACTGCAGTGCCTATAATGAAATGTTAATCAGATACTTCATGCAAAGAATTCCTTTCCTAAAGGATGACCAAGCATAACTTCAGTTAGTTTTCTCAAGAAAATAGATGTTTTTGGCAATGATCTTTACAAAAACAATCTGTAAATATTTGACTGTATTTTGTAGTTCCAAGACAAGCTCCTGCTGAGTGGACATGACTGAAAGTTTCTATAAGGACTTAACCTGGGCTGAGAGATTACTGTGGTTGTTTGGGAAGATGTGAGGCCAATGTCAAATGAGATCAGGTTACCTTTGAGACCAGGAGTTCCTTTTACAATGAAACATGCCTGGGATCTCTTCATACCTGTTCTTTGATGTGCTCAGTTAAACTGTGTGTAGCCAGCTCATTATACCCCATAAAGGGAAGTTAGGCTTTTTATAAGCTTATCTTTCCACCCTTGAGGTCTGAATCTTTATTGCAATTGTGTGTGTGTGTGTGTGTTTAAAATCACTTGCTCTTTTTGCTTTCCAAGTTTTGTTGACTTGCTACAGAATAATGAGTTTTGTTTAAGCTTAGAACAATTATTTTCGGCTAGATTTCCCAAGCAAACCTTGGCTGCCTTTCTATAGAATTGCTCAGTCCTCAGATGTATTCATCCTCATCCTTCTTCCTTTTCATGGTTTGACGGGAAGCTGGAGTCCAGAGGAAGGCAGATCTTTTTTAGAATCTGAAATTCCTTGGGAGAGAAGTTTCAGGAGGGAACCCCAGAATCACCAGCATTTTGGTTGCTGGGACTGCATCTTTCAGATCAAAGGAACCCATGATTGTGGATATGCATTGTGGGGCATTTCCTCCTTAGTAACTTTGGTCTCTGAATCTCAAATAGCAAACATCTTCCGTATTTTAAAAGGAGTGGTCTATGGACTTTTTAGAAAGTAAAGAAGAAAACTTACTCCCATTTCCCCACAGCTGTGTATTGGGCACAAGCATTTCAGTACTGTCCTTGCTGAACTTTTTCACATCATTGTGTTTTTCTCTGTTGGATGTCATTAGAGTTTTCCATTCACTGGACTGTGCTGTTTTGAGGTCCAATCTAGTCGCAGACTGTAGGGACAGGGTGCTTCTCTGGTAGCCTGAATAAGAAAGACTGTGACTTTGAGGAGGTCATTTAATCTCTGTGGTCCTTCTTTCCTTGTGTGTAAAATGTGGGGATTGAATTCTCTGAGTTCTAATGTCTCTTTCTGCTCTGTGATCCTGTATTGGAGAGTGGATATTGAGGGTCTGTGGGTAAAGTGTCTAGGCGAGAATGTGTATTGCAATTATCCAGCAATTCCTATAGGAATTCAGTCTCAGAACACAGATTCATCTTTAGTCCCATCTTCTGCTCATCTTCCAACATACAGTCTATTTCCCTTTAAATACCTGGGGAAACTGAGGTCAACTTTCTGATGGAGCTGTGTGGTTTGCTGAAGGGCCTGTTCGTGACTGGGCATAGACTCAGTTCTGTCTGGATTTGAGCTTTCGTCCTTGTAGAAGCTGGGGTTGATCAAGGATGGTCTGCATGTAATGAATTATTGAGATGTTGTCTCCATGGCTGTGGTTGAGAAAACAACACGTTTTCTCTGTCAGGCTCGTGACTAATATAAATATCAGATCCCATTACTGTGTGGTAATTACCCAGGGTCTGGCCTGACGCATTCAATCAGGGCTGGAGCTTCAGTGCCTCAGAACTCTTGATTCCAGATTGGCTCTGGTGCCTCATCTCATCCTGTTGGGGGGATTGGCTCAGCAGACGACCTTCAGATGCTCCTTTTTGATCAAATCACTTGGGTGGCCTTGGAGAAATTCTTTGGTCCCAGTCATGGGAGAGCTCTGGCTGACCTGCCAGAGAGCTTGTGCTTCTCGTTCCTGGCTCTCTTTATGGAAATGCACACTTTAGTACAGACTCTGCGATCAGACAGACCAAGTTCAAATCATGGATCTCACACTTACGAGCAGTCATCGTTGGCTGGCAAGCATGTTGAGCCTCTATTTCTTTATCTGTAAGAAGAGCATAATGACGCTTAGCTTGTAGAGTTTTTATAAGGAGTGGCAGTGATGGGCATATAGTACCTGATAAATGCCTGGCCCTTTGCAGGCCGCTTGTGAATGGGAGCACTGTAGCTTCACAAAGTGTTGAGTTTATTTTATCTTTGAATTATTGAACTTGCGACCCCTGAATGGCATAGACTATATACAACAAATGGAATTTTTGAACCAAAAGGAGCCTCTAGATCCTGAAGTCTATTGTCATGGGTCAGCCAGTTAGAATCACACTGAGATTTGGGCTCATGGCTCTTGGCTATTGCAAGGTTAGGGGTTGGGAGGGTCAGCCAAGGATGGCTCTGTGGATGAGGACCTGGTGGGAGGGTAATGTTTTGATGGTAGGATGTCAGTGAACAAGTATGAATGGTATAGTGGCCAGGAGCCATAGGACTGTCAGAAAGGGAACACTGTGGTATTTGGTGGGCAATTATGGCTGTCCAGCATTGTACCCTTGGTACAAATTCTGTCCTTAGTGTCCCAAGTCAAGAGCTCAGTGGCTTGTCCCCTAATGGTGTACCAGTCTCCTGGCTAGGGTGCTGTCTGCTTGGACAGACCCTAGAGCAGTCTTTACCTAAGTGCATTCTGTGGAGCACTTACCCTTGAAATTACCTTATGAGAACAAATTGGCAGTGATGACATAGCTGAGCTCCCCCTTGAAGGGTCATGTCACAGATTTAGAGAAGACGAGCTATAGAAATTGGTTAAACTGCCCTCAGATATGCTCACTCTGAGCAGCATTTTCCAGGTGTCGAGTCTGCTGTACAGTGACCTTGGGAAGGCCTTCACTATTCTGCGCCTCAGTTTCCTCCTCTACAAATTGGGGATCATAATAGATCATAGCACTATGAGATAGGTATCTTCACTAACCCCACTTCATAGCATTTCCTAGGAAGACACTGGGGACCCATGGCCTCCCTTTGCAAGCCTTGGGATGGCCCTGCCTCCAGGCATGCAGGGGACATGACCAAACATGCATGAAGAGGAAAGGAAGAGCTGGCCCACAGCCTGGTCTAGGGGAGAAGGGATGAAGGCCCAGGACA